ATCCATTCCGACATCAAAAAAAATTCTTCCAAATTTAAATACAGGAGACTGACCGAGATGCATTCCGGTTTTTCTGGTTCGACTCTATTTCCGTAAGCCAACACAGTGAGCTCGTCGAATAGCGCATGACACGGGTACCGTTTGAATCAACGTCAAGCCCTTTCTTGCTCAGGCCAACTATTCACTACCACTTACATAACGCATGTGAAGACAAAGATCTCGCTTCTGCAATAAAGAAGACATTTTATGTCGACGATTTATTGGTGGGTGTGGACACATTCCATGAAGGTCGGTGCATTCATCAATTATGAAAGAAGCTGGCATGAAGCTCAGAAAGTTGAAGACCAATGACCATCAGCTGCAGAACATTTTTGACAACAAGGAGGAGCAAGTAGAAGGAGCATCCGGAGAGGCAGCTGTGGTCTTGGGAATGCAATGGGATATAAAAAATGAATACTTCAAATTTTCTTCCAAGTCTGTGGCCCAGTATTTAGTGGCTGGCCAGTTCAACAAGAAACGTACCCTACTGAAGGTTGCTTCTCGAATTTATTACTCGCTTGGCCTTCTATCGACATTCACCATCACTGCGAAGCTTTTGTTTCAACGCCTTTGGGTTTTAGGCCATTCCTGGGACTAAGAATTGCCAGCGGAGATCAAGACGCAGTGGGCAGCCTGGTGTGCAGATGTAACACAGCTCGGCCACATAAAGATTCCGCGTTGCGTGAGAGACGGACTGCGTGGAGCACTTGAAGAAGCTGAACTGCATATATTCGTCAACGCCAGCCTGAATGCTCATGGAGCATGTGCCGATTTGAGAGCATTTGATGAAGGTGGGAACTCAGCTACCTCTCTGATAGTATCGAAGTCAAGAGTGGCACCTATCAAGACATTAACGCTATCAAAGCTCGAGCTTATGGCCGCGGTAGTGGGAGCCAGATTGCTAAAATGCATTTGCTCCTCCTGGGATTTCAAACATTTCCATTGGGTCATGTTGACTGACTCCATGATCACACTGAGCTGGATCCGTGGAAACTATAGCAAGTGGAGTCAGTTTGTAAAGCACAGAGTGACTGAAATAACGCAAGTTACTAAAACAGCGTTATGGCGCTACTGCCCGGGCGAAGACAACCCAGCGGATGTACTGACTAGAGGCATACCGATAAGAACTCTACGTGCATGTCGCTATTGGTGGTATGGGCCTGAATGGTTGTCCCAGCGAAAATCAAGCTGGCCTTCAGAACCTAACCAGTACAAACTGATAAACGAGGAGGCAGAGATTGAGACACAACATGTATTTCTTCAAGTGTCATCAAGTAACTTACACCCGGTCATTGGTATAAGGAAGCATAGCGACCTGCAGAAGTTCCTGCGCGCCACCGCCTGGGTCTTTCGCTTTTTGGATCGATGCCGTGGACTTCAAACTTCACTCAGCGAAGCAATTCCGGCACGGGAGCTAAGCAAGTCTGAAATGTTTTGGGTCCGATATGTTCAGCTGAAAGTATTTGCGAAGGACGTCGAACAACTGCAGCTTGAACACACTCTCCCCAAACAGTCTATGCTGATCGATCTTCACCCTTTCTTGGACCAAAACAGACAGCTTCGGCTTGGCAGGCGCCTCAAGAGAATGGACGCCACATATGACGAAAAACATCCGGTCATACTGCCACAGAGACATCTTTTCACGTCTCTGGTAGTGATTGAGGCTCACTACAGAGCTTTGCATTGTGGTGTGGCAAGCAATAAGATGCAAATAAGACAGTGGTATTGGAGCATCCATGCTCGACAAGAAGTCAAGCGAATCATCAACAAATACTTTCTCTGCCGAAGATACGATGTGAAACCTGGGAACGTGCAGTATGCGCCGATGCCTGGAGACCGTCCTCTATCGTCCCAGCCATTTGATGTAGTAGGATGAGACTTTGTAGGTCCACTATATATAAAGCAACATGAGCTACATCAAAAGCTTATATCCTGCTGTTCACCTGTGCGACGACTAGAGCAGTACACCTTGAACTCACGAGTGCGATCCGACCAGTGCCATCTTGCTAGCGTTCCGGAGGTTTTTTGCTCGCAGAGGAGTACCCGCAACAATGTACTAGGCTAACGCTCTCGCCTTCAAGAGAGCGTCACGGGACCTCAGGAACATCTGGAGTGTCATGAAGAGCTCTCCATTCGCATCTTTTCTGCTGACCTACCGCATAGAGTGGAAGTTTATCGTGCCAGGTGCACCTTGGTGGGGCGGTTGGTGGGAGAGGCTTGTCCGGACTGTCAAGTCATCGTTGCGCAAGGTGATGGGAAAGAGTAAGCTCAGCAGCGAACAAGCTGAGACGACGCTACTAGAGGTAGAAGCGGTTCTTAATTCAAGACCGCTGACCTACACGTATGCGGACGCCAAAGAGCCCTCTCTGATATGTCCAGCGCATTTTCTGCCACCACCGGTGTACATAACCACTATCGCATTAAATAAGAAAAAAACTTAAACAAGGAATACATGAGACATGTGGTGAAAAAGCGGGATTCGAGCCCGAGTCCACTGCGTCCCAACCCAAAATTCTACCGCTGAGCCACGCCAGTGCTTGGGACTCGTTCGCAAAGTTGCCTTACGCGTGCAGCCTTGATGTCGGGAAAGTAATCACGCTAGTATGAGTAATAAAGCGTTTTAGAACAGCAAAGGTACCAGGCGTCGCACAATTAGAAACGCGTTACGAGTGGGTCGTCCAATGCTCCAACACAATAGAAAAGCTTGTTCTTCATCTCCTATTAACTGTGGACATACCCACTTCAGCCTAATTCTTCTTCGTCGTCAGCCACTGAATGCAACACAAAATTAGTTGCAAGTGTTTCGCCAATACCACGCTTCTCCGAAGAATAACGAAGGATTGCATGGTGAATGCCACCCTAGTACACAGAAATCATAATTATTTATGGCGTAGTGGGCACCCAGCAAGTGTGCGTCTAGCATTCAACAAAAGAGTGTATAGTAAAGGCTCTGAAAGGCCGGTCTTCCTGCTTTCGCTGTCATTGTCTTGCGCGTTCCGCACAGGCTTGGCGTTTCTTTTCTTTTTTTTTGTCCACTGATGTAGCCAGCTAGCAGAGACGATGAAGAAAATACTTGGCGAGTACATTACAGATTTTCCACCCTGTTCTCTTTGTTTTCATCAAATACTTCAAATAAGTATTCTCCTAAAATGCACATAGCATTATAACAGCTACCCTTGACGTTAGACAGTGATAAATGAAGCGACCGATAGCTTTTTGAACAGAACGCTTGCAGCTATTATTGCATTCGTGAAACCGGCTGCGGCCTATAGAATACCAAGTGGGTGGAAAGAGAGGTAAGCGTGAGGAGGGATGTGAAAGTGAAGACGATGGAAACGAGGAGGGGAGAGGTGGAAGGATGGAATAGCCTCGTGTATTATAGTTAAGCAAGTGGGGTGGGAAAGTGAAGTGACGGTGAGGGCGACTTTTAAGGATAAAGAAGAGAAAAAGGGTAAACCACAGCATAGCCATGTACAGTTTTGTATTGCAAGGCGTGCTAAAGACCTGAAAGAGTGAGGAAGAGTGATGTGAGATTGGGAGGAGGAAAGGAAGGAGAGAGGAAAGCATAGAAAGACACAAAAAAAGGAAGAAAGATGTGGAATTGTATCTGCGTTCGGCAAGTGGTGATGCTTCCTTTCGAGCTCTACTTTTTACTCAGATTTCACATGCGTGCCACTCCTTTTATTGTTTTTTTCGCGACACGATTACCTCATATTGAAAGCCGGTCTAAGCTCTTTCTATATTTATATTTTTCCTCGAAGCCACGGCATTCTCTCAGTGTCTTGTCGCTCACTCCTGTCCTGCATCATATTACTCGGCCCGGGTAATACAGTCATCCCAGAAGGCGCACAGTCAGCCCCTTTGTTGTGATTTATTTTAGTGTATGGCAGCCATGGAGATGTTGAAGTACTTGATTAGTCTCGGTCAGTGCTGGGCAGAGATACTCAGGAAATTATTCCGGAATACAGATATAAAAATACATGTATGTGCTACAAGACTCGGATACTGATACTGAGACGCATTTGTCTTATTGATACTGATACTGAGACAAAATTCATCGGAGCAACTTTTGCGACAAGTCAGAAAATGTATTCCAGTGTACAGTTATACTAACACAGGTACAATGAAACGCATCAATCTTGACTTCGGCGATACTGATGTTCCGAAAAGGCATTTATTAGGTGCAGCATAATATTGTGAATAATGCTTGAGTGCATAGAAGCTTGCAAATCAAGCATATCGCTCCACTGCCAACCAACACCACTGTAGTAAGAAAAGTACGTGTACATTTATTTTACGCAACTTCAGTTACTAAAGACGGTCATTGCGTTAATTGCACTTAAGCAATAATAGCTTCTTAAACCGGTGGTCTTCAAAAAAGCGCCCGTTCACCCTCAACAAAAGACATGCCAACAAAAAAAAAGGGCTCTCTAAAGCTGCAGATTCGTGCTATAGCGAATAAATACCACCTCAATGTCCGGAAAGTCTTGTAGCACGGCGATATCTCTTTCCGTGTTCCTTTCTTGCCCTTCCCATATCACCTACCAGTGGCGCACCTTTGCTTGGCTTAGCGCAAAAAAAAAATGTTCTCCTTTACGCGTTGGAAACAAATTGACTCATTAGTGACAAAAAAGTGAGGAGATATTTGTGTACTCTATCGAGATACAATCCGCACATCGTAAAATTATTTCACAAAAGGGATGCAAATGAACCTTGCCAATTTACCTCGATGTAGAAATAGAACTACTCAATTGCACATATAAGATGTTGTCGCGATGCTCTAGTATTATACTGCGTAGCCCAGGCCCCAACATCTGAGTGCTTACTTTTTTCTCCACACTCTAAAATTTCCATTTATTCTGTATGAAAACTTCTAAATAGTTGCACGCGGACTAGCACATCCAGCACTTTACGCAGAGTATAGTGAACTCACCTTCAAAACAAGAGTGGTAAAAACTCACTTGTGAACCTGGCATCCGCTTTATCATGCACCATGTCGCCGCACTGATCGGCCAAAGCCTGCGCCACTTCGGCCAATTCGTCGTCCCACTCCTGCAGGCAACGTATCAACGACACCGCGCGAAGCGCACTGCAACTCTATCAGCAGAGAAACAAAAAAAACACTTCCAAATACTTGGAAATGAACTACAGTTTCAAGCATGAGAATGTTTATTGATATAACAATGGCGTTTAAAATTGTGTGAGAGTAAAGTCGTGTATTGTAGAAACCAACCACATTCTTTCCTGGCTAACTTTCCACTATCTTTCGTGATCCTGCCTTCCCGAGCGCAAGCTGCGAAAAGTCACTAAAGAAGCAATTACTACCGTGCTGACGGGAAGCTTACTGGGGCGCTGCGCCTTGTTGCCTGCAATAAACGGCCTGTATACCAGCTACGAGTAGCTTATAAAATCACAGTACATCCACGATGTGAATGATCACAACTGGGCGAAGCTCTGGAGGATCGTTAACCACCGCACATTCTTTCTTGCTTTAATAAAGAAGTGCACTCTATCACCATGAAAAAGAGGGAGTAAACGCGTTTTATAGCTCTTGGGGCGCCGCAGCGAAAGAAACAGCGTGCCATGAGCGCACCCACGATCATCGTTCTCTTCTATACCTGATCGGCGCGCTCGCGGCCTGCCCTCCCAGCGCCAGTGCATGCAAACCAGGACAACGGACATCGGAGTGACAGGGCTGGACCATAAGGCGCTGTGCCCTAGCAACACTTTCAAATATACAGTTGTTTTTTTTTTAAAATTCTCGGTGTTAGTATTGATTCCTGAAGGCACATCACACTCTACAAATCTCTAATCGCGATATGACGCTGACCCCAAAGCTGGCAAGTGAAGGCGCGGCTTCTCCCAACAGTGTCGATGATATACTCGTTCGCCATGTTGCTTGGATAACGGCATCCACACGACAGACGTGTGCGTACAGTCGCAGATTTCAAGCCGATTATGTTGATCAACATCAGACGAATCCCCGGCTTTTAAATCCACAGAGTGAAAATTTAGCGCTAAGCAATTTGAGTGCTCTATCACCATGTCGGTACTCCTACTCGCTTCACCTACACACAAAATAAGCCTGAGAAAGGCTATAAAAACGCAAAAAACAAATGGTGGCGTCGATGTGGTATCTTTTGCGCAAAAGTTACGCCTGATGCAAGGATTACGATTAGGATTAGGATGTTGTAAATAGCCGGCGGATCCACCTGATGCAATAAGGTTGCTCACGGCTACAGTTTAGGCAGCTATAATACTGCCAAGCTTCTCTAAAATAAGCCTTTTTTTATTCCACCCGATTAAAAGAAAGAATCATTGTGACGTTGCACAATGTAATTACAAATTTGCCAGCCTTGTTTTTCAGCAGCATATGGCACACTATTTATTTATTAATTTATTTATTTATTTGTTTTATATTACCTGTATTACCTATTGGATGTCTGCGAGGCTGTATATCAAGTCTGCACTTGTTATATTTTGCGCCCGATCTTCGATTTCACCTCTACCAGCCAATTAGGCCACTTATTTTCTCGTTTTTATAGCTTCGCCATATCCGAGGCACCAGTTTCTTTTCTCACCAACAGCCTTAATTTCTGTCCACAATTGGCTCACCAGTTCGTACATGTTCGCGGCTTGCTTGAAGCCCCTGAGCCGGCCAGTGGCTACTTTACTGCGTAGTTTGTTGTGGCGCCGCAGGAACTCATTCTTGTCGCGGTATGACAGGCCCCGTATGAGTATGGTGCAGTTGCGATTGCGTGGCTGGCAAGCAGTGTGAATGACACCGTTGCGGGTGTACCAGTAGGCGGGCCTGCATGGCCTCACCCCGACGGCAGTGGAGCCACTGGCTAGAATGGCCGCTGTCACCCAGGAGCAGAGTACCAGCCACATCTGAGCAAAAGAGAAGCGCAGGCATGCCCTAAAACTTCTTCAGCTCCAGGATTCTTTGTAATCGTTGTGTTATCCTGACGACGATCATAAAAGCGAAGGCGACCGGCGATTGATAAAACCACACTGAAAAAGAGCTCAGTGAATCCGCCGTAAAGATATACTTTTATCTGTAAATAAACGCAGCAAGGTCGGACTGATACTTTTGACCAGTCAGTTTATTGCTGCGAAGAATTTAGTGTTACCTTGTACTCCTTAAAATTGACACTATAGCATGATATTGTCAATAAGTAGGTAATTTCGTCATTAACATTTTTCTGCTAATATTATAAAGTGCATAAATAAAGTAGAAATATAGCAGCAAAACTTCTTGTCATTAAAGATCTTTGCACAAATAACGCTAACTCATTGTAGCGACATGGTGCCCACTGTGCACATAATGCACACCACGCCCTGCGTGAAACTGCCATTGCTTTGGCATGCTGAAAACGTCACGCAAATCTGACTTTTTTTACTCATTGCGGTGCGAAAAATAACGACTTCCTGCACAACACAGATCAGTTTAGTGCCAACGATAATGTTAGGCATGAGTAGCTGCGAAATTGGCGTGAATTAGAAGGTCTCAGTTCGCTCACGCTCTCATGGTACACGCACAATACGTCGTTTAATGTCGCCGATCTTTAGTGGGTACACAGTGAAATCTCAACAGCTGTCCGGTATATACAATGGCAACAAATGCTGAAGTATTGAATTTTCTGCACTTTATGGGGATCCGCTGTTCTACACACCCATGTATTCATCTTTCGGGGTTACTATGTTGACTTTACAAATGGTATGAATATGTAATATAAAATGAACACTTGCAAATGACTTGGAAGCTACCCAGTAGCATTAAGGATTTGAAGTTATAATCAAACACTTCAGTAGCCTTATAAGTAGAAAGTATTTCTCATTTTTCTGTCTTTTTTGTTTTTGCTGAGCAACGCCTCATTTTACTCCATCGCCAGTAAAAAAATTGAATGCAAAATTTTAGCACTGACTGGAGCTTCGTGATTTTTTGAACCATAAACCTGGTCATCTCGTAAGTGTGCACAGATGTACGTAACAGAGAACACAAAGCTTTGTTGTCTTTACTCACCACGATGAACTTTGTCGCTCTAGATGACGGACGACGATAAATTGAAAGGTAAGCTAGAACTAAACTACATAAGCCATAAACTATATCATATTCAAGTTATTTAACAGTGATTTTCATGTCGGAGAGTGTGAGATGCATCCACGCGTATTCTGACTGGCTACAGAAGTAACTGTCGTCGAAAAGCTAGTTCGAAAAGCCACCAACGTGACACCATAGACGCATGACGATATACGAATGGCTTGCGTTTACGCTGAAACCTGAACAGTAGACAAAACAACGCGTTACCAGTACAATCGTGCACATATGAAATTTTCGTACGGTGTTTTGACTGCGAAAGCCAAAACGCCCGCTATACTTCTACGCATTGAGTAAGGTGCTTCCGGTGAGAGTACACTACTGGCACTGACGCGCCATTTCCCGCAGACGTGACATCGAAGTCATGATGCTGTTTATAATGTTTAAAGAAAGATGGCGTGAAATTCAAGTAGTGAATAAAAATATCAAAAACACGATCAAGCAAACTGTTATTGCAATAGAAGGCTCTTTTCATTGTCCTCCCAACAGTAACTGAACGCGCACTCACCGCAAAGTTTCCGTCACAGTGTCTACACTGGCGTCGCAGACACTGCAGCCAAAGTGGTTCGTTGCTGTCGACAGAGTGCACAGCTGCCTGCCTCTGGTCTGCCCCCTTTGAGGCTGCGGTGGCACGCGGCCGCACCTATTCACGAAGGGGGCAGCTGCGTCACGCCGGCCCAGCAGCGTGCACGTCGTGGCAGGGCTGCGCGCAAAAAAGAACAAGTAATTGAAAAAAAGAAGAAACGGGGCACATTTATGAATGAAGCTCCACCACCCAAAACGTCACATGCAGGAAGCGTGGGAGCTTTTCCCGTGCACTGCGGTCTTACACGGCGCGGAAACAGTAGGCAGTGAGGGGACCAACAGGCTTGAACAAGTGTCACGTTCGCGACTGGCTTCAACTGACGGCATCTGGAGAACTTGCTGCGACTTGCAAAAGAAACGGTTCTAAACCTTTGCTTCCACATCTAGGTGAAAGCCCACGCCATTCTAGTCGAATACGATCAAAGGGGAAAAGCAAATGCACGCGCACTAAGCACGATTTCCAGCTGCCGCTTATTTTGTGGCTCTAGTCTGTAGCTGGCAATGCATAGGCTTCTACTTGCTTAGCGTTTCCGCGTCATAGCTGAGCCCATTATCGACATTTATTAAAGATGCAAGAATGTTGCGAATCTCGTTTGCCTCGTAATTGTCGATGGCGGTGCAAAAGACCCGAAAAGTCTGACTCACTTTGTCGCGAACCATGCACATCTCGGCATCTGTTAAGCTATTATCCCGGGTATCTTACAGAGAGCACGATGTAGGTATTGCTAGCTTACTCCAAAGCGCATGCCCTTTATAAATACGTGTGCAAGAAGCAGCATCATGAGAACAGAGAGGACACGCGAAGGCAGAAGGATTATAAATAATTACGCAACGCTCTCATGTTGCAGATAGCTTAGATGAGTTATTGATCAGCTACCTGCACAGAAGGTTAGAGTACTCCATTAGGTAAATGAAAATTCCGCTGACACAGCCACGAGTAGGTTAGGCTGACACTCCGCTCGTTACATTATCTATACACATCAATAAATACTCAAAAATTTACGCACGAAAACAGGCACCACCCTCCAGCATGTGGTAGCGAACGCTCTTGCATCCAGAGGGCTGTGGGCTTGACTCCCACTGAATATCTGCTTTCTTTTCATTGCAAACAAACATTAGGACACATACTACGATTTGCTCCTAAATGAGCTCAGCGACCGCAAAACTTGTCAGTCATTTTAAAGCGCAACTGTTGGACACCCGCTCCTGGGTTGAGAGGCGGCGCCATGGCCACAGCCGTCACCATTGGTGGCCAACTGATAGACACAATAAATAAAATCAGAAAAAAGCTGGACCAAATGCGATTCAACCCGGGTCCTCTCCGTAACAGTCGAGTATTCTGCCACAAAACAAAGTTACTGCTTGAAACCCATTCGCAGAAAGACCCTATAAATGGCGTCATGTCGGGTAAGAAATCTCGTTAATCTATGTTATATAGGTGGACAGAAGAGTAAAATGGCAACCAGTCATCACCCCACGCTAACTTCGCAACCAATGCGTGGCTTAATGCTTCCCCCTCAGTGCAAAATGATTGGTCAAATTATTTATCGTCATGCAGCATCAACAAAGTGTACATAATACCTTTCAGATGTGTACCTCGCTTATCTATCAAAACACAAATAATGGCGTGGTGAGAGAAATCCGATTTCACAAAAATTATATTTTATGAGAAAATCAATCGATACCTTAATAAAACCAAAACTTCTTACACATTTGGCCTTACCCCAACACAAAACAGCACTCAGAATTAGCGTTAAGCAGTATCATAATCATCGCTTATTTTCTCACCCGACATTTTGCGGTACACTCTAGAATACCTATATTGTGGCAAAGAGAAAAAACCCCAGATGGAATCCCGGTGTGACACAGATTATGCAGTTCTAATTAGTCGGAGCTGACACGCCGACTTTGTCATATTTGTAAGTACAGTAGCTGTGGCTCAAGTTTTCTGTTTCTTCCATCATGAAAGACTAGCTTGACATCGTACATTCGTAGCAGCACCACTGATCGATGCTGCGTTTTAACGGTAGTACTGACAGCACCATTTCTCGAGTTATCACTCATCAAATTGGGATTGTTTCAGCGATAGTTGACGAAAAGTTGCGATTTCAGCAAACAGTCAGCTCTTGATGTCTGTAGTATCATATCGTGGAGTTCCTTGGCATCAGGCTTCTTAAGATCAGCTCGGTGAAACAACCGGGAAATAACCCCTTCAAAGACTCAGTGACACACTCATCAGATATCTGTACACACGACTTTGCGAGTTTCTGTGCACAATTCATATTATCCTATGTACAGCGCATCCAGGATGGCACAGAGTAAAAGACACATAACACACGCTCTTCTGCTCTACCCCGTCCTAGAAGCGCAGTACATCAGATGCTATAGATAAAAAAACAAGCCCGCCTTTCAATTTTCATTGTGTACAATCGTCATGATCACTACTTATGGGAGTAATTTAAACAGCACTAGGCACGCAATGGTGAGAGAAAGACAGACATAGCGCTCTCACTGTTCATTCCCATTGTAACGGTATTTATCAAGTAGCCCAGTTAGGCGCACTCCTGCATTCGATTACTTGCTAAGGAGCCTATGGGAGTAATTTAAACAGCACTAGGCACGCAATGGTGAGAGAAAGACAGACATAGCGCTCTCACTGTTCATTCCCATTGTAACGGTATTTATCAAGTAGCCCAGTTAGGTGCACTCCTGCATTCGATTACTTGCTAAGGAGCCTAGAAGTTGACTATGAGAAAAAAAGTCACAGTTTAGCCAAAATGGCGAAGCAATGAATGCGATAGCAACAAATTCGAATGTAACACCTAGAACGGCAAGCTGATCAAAACGTGCAGTGCGCTGCTCACGCAAAAATGACTCCCGGAAGCAATACACACAGGATGAGAAGCAACTAACAACGTTTACAACTCGAAACTTAACGCACTGCTTAAAGGGCCACTCACCAGGCTCCCAAAATACGAAAAATAGCACAATATTCTCTCCTGGTATTTCTCGTCCTTCTTACCGTATAACTGTGAGGTAGAGAGTACTTCCCGTGACGTCTACAACGTACATTCTCTCGATCCGTCGATATACGCGAAATATCACATGCCATTTATTTCTTGCACTGCTTTCCTATGCAGCCACCCATTCGTTCTTCTTGTTTCGCATAAAAATCGTGCACAATCAACTGATCAAACTTCATTTTGTGGTGTTTACAACTGCACAAGCGGCGATAACAGCGTGCAGTCAAGAAGCGTGAAATCCGGATAGGCGCTAGCGCTTGGTGCTGATTTGTTCACGTGCATTCAAGAACTAAGGGCTGAAGAGGAGGCATCGTGTGTACGAAGGAGAGGAGAAAATCCTCCCCTCGTCTATAAATGCATGGTGGTGAGTGGCCCTTTAAACTCAAACGACGCGCGAAACGTAGTGACAGATACGGATATGAGTGCGAACTAATAAACGTCCCAGTTGTGACTTTGCTGTGTTTAAAAGCGCGCTCTTTTGGCAAACGGGTCTGTCCAGTGAGCGAAGTAGTCTTTGTGAGTCTGGCAAATAAACGCGATTGGTCCGGTCAAAGCCGTAGGCGAACTATTTTCCCCTACCACAGGATTTTCCCCTACCGTAAGTGCCTGGACGAGGCCCCTTCCTTCCGCGATGCAAAGCACTTGTGGAAGATGAGCGCGCATCGGCGCATCGCGACGAGCTAGGCGCCGATCTTTCCGCTGGGCACGCTCATCGCGCCATCTCACTGGTAATGCTGAGAACACGCTATTTATTTCTGGTAGATATAAATAGCTTGCCATTTCAATGCTGAAGAAGGCCTCCTCCGTCGCTCAGTGGCTAACGCCGCCAACTCACGAACTCACAAATTCCACGCGTCAGAGTCTTCTTCTGGATCATTCCTTTTCTTGCATTTTCATATATATATATATATATATATATATATATATATATATATATATATATATATATATATATATATACATATACAATGAATAACGTTGACGCCGGAGGGAAAACGCAGCTGAGTCTCCATATAAATGTTATTGCAATAAAAACACTCGTAGATGACGGCATAGCTTCTCCATCGCGGAACAATGTACCCTGCAGTACTACCTAGCATGGCGAAATACTCGTTCAACAGTACTTTGATGAGAATGGTTTATATTCACTTTCGTTTCTCACCCTTAGGGGTCGTGGTAGAGTGAGAGAAACTTACTCTTTATTAGAAGTCAAAGGAGGCTGGTCTGAGCTAGTGCGCTTGAGCCTGCTCTACGCTGACCATAAGGGAAGGGGGGGGGGGGGGATGAAGGATTATTATGGCGAAAGGAAGACGTGGTGCGTATCTACAGAAGCCACTTAGCACACTACCCTACGGCTTATTGGGCAGTTCAGTGCTTTCGATAAAATAGAGAACAGCTTTTGTAGCAGTTTTTAACACTATGTGGTCATACAATGCTGGCAAAATGGAACTTTCACTAAGTGGTGTTCGTCTGATGCCTGCCAACGTTGAAGTAGGCATCTTTCATTGCGTCACGTATTATGGGTCGTCAAAAA